CTTGAATTAATTGAAAGACGACATTAAATATTTCCATATAGTTCGGAGACTAAATTGAACATATACCAAAAGTCCATGGACCACATCGAACATATTAAAAGTTTAGGGATGACATTACACATTGGGCTAAAGTCTATGGGTCATATTGAATAAATTAAAATTTCAAGGACGGTATTAAATATTGGCGAGTTTGAAGCCTCTGAATCAATGGGTCGTCTTCCTCATTTCACCATTCTCTCTTTTATTGTGGCCGTGGGCTTCTTAAATGGGCTGCAATCTCGCAAGCGGGCTTCCTACGGGTCGAGGCCCGAGCCCAAGCTTTGCAAGAGGCGATGTATAAAAGCAATAGGGTTTCCGCCTTCTCCTCTTCCCTCGAAAACCCTGCACCATCTCGGTCGCTCCCTCTGCAGCGCGCTCTCTCTCTCTCTTCGCTTCTGCGCCGTCTCGATCTCAGGTGCGGCTCGTTTGCATCGGTCCCTCTATCAATCGCATCCTTGTTTGTTGGTTTCTGACGAGTTGAGTGAATTGGGTTTCGATTGGTGTAGCAGATTAGCTTCGCCTCGTTTGCTTTTGCCTTACGTAAAATTTTTGATCTTGTTGCTGAATGCTTCGTGCGTGTTGTCGTTAGTACTGTATGAGCCCTGCTGCTTTTTGGGATCTTTGTTTCTTTTTCGTGGGATTTTGGTTTGAGCACTTACTTCGGCGCGTGCTGCTTCGCGTGCTGGATTCGAGCCTTCGATATTTTCGAGGGTGTGTTGGGTGGTCGTAGGACGAACGAATTCGTATCCCGTGTTCGTTTCTCATGCTGTGATGACCTTGTTTGACTGTTTTGGGCATACCCAGATGATTACAGAGAGCCCTGCGTTGTGTCCGGCATCTGTGCTACCCATGATTTTGATCTCTGGATCCCCGTGTCCCCGTGTCCGATGTGACTTGATCGAAATGACCTATGATGTCAAGTTGCTTAGTCTTATGTTCTGTTTTTCTTTTGCGCGGTTGTCTTGAGAATGTCTGTCCCTGTTATGCTGATGATGTTGAGTTTCTCTGTGTTGCAGGGCGCAGCTTATTAATTGTTTACGATGGTGAGGGTTAGTGTGTTGAATGATGCTCTTAAGAGCATGTATAATGCCGAAAAGACGGGAAAGAGACAGGTCATGATCAGACCCTCGTCGAAAGTGATCATCAAGTTTCTTCTGGTGATGCAGAAGCATGGTATGCTCTCTTGTCAATCACCTTTCGATACTTGATACTTGTATGGTTTGCACTTATTGTCGTACTATCCTTGGAGCCATCGCTAGGTTACATTGGCGAGTTTGAGTATGTCGACGACCACAGGGCTGGCAAAATTGTGGTTGAACTCAATGGAAGGCTAAACAAGTGCGGAGTTATCAGTCCCCGTTTTGATATCGGTGTCAAGGAGATCGAAGGCTGGACCGCAAGGTTGCTTCCCTCAAGACAGGTTTGTTCCAAAAGCTTCTCCTTACATTCAGTATTTTCAATTGTTAGTTGTTGTACTTCAAAGCTGTCTTTTACCTGTTGCTGCTCGCCTTGATAGGTTTATTGCATTTCTCACATGGCATTCTGAGCTTCGACTTGTAATTGTCTACCATACTGCCACATTCATATTGTCTAACATCTAGTTATTGTGTTGACTGAACTGAGAATATATCTGATGCCTTTAGCTTAACTTGACTAAAATTTTGCAACCCGTTGATTTCTTCTCTTGATCTAAACTCAGTAACTCTTTGAAACTTGCAGTTTGGTTACATTGTGTTAACAACTTCAGCTGGCATCATGGATCATGAAGAGGCTAGGAGGAAGAATGTTGGTGGAAAAGTACTTGGTTTCTTTTACTAGGCTGAGTTAATTTTGCCGATGGATCCCTAATATTTCTACTGTGAGGATTTTGTCGTGTATTTTTGAACTGGTTTTCCATACGGTTCACCTTATTGGGTTTCATTTTTCGTTTAATGGAGCTTTTGATATTTCTTTCCGCCACTATCCTCTACTGCTATATATGCAGTTGAAAAGATATGCAGTTTGTCTTTTAATTATGGATGTTCTGGTGATTGTCTAATGACATGGTGGTCGTTTGGGTTCGCAGTAAGTGCGGGATTATTGGTCATATGTATGATGTATTAGCCGTGGAATCTTCAATCCCCACTTTTAGTGGGGAGTAGTTTTTACTGTACAGTGCAACTGTGACTTGATGCGATTTCATGTATTTCTACGAATGTCAGCCAATTGATAACTGCTCATTGAAGTGAGAGCAAAATCCTCAGTGGTCATTGGACAGGGGATATGGTTCAAGTATGTGATCACGGTTTTGGTTATTGGTTATCTTTTTTGTTTTTTGGTAAGGGTCATTGATTATCTTTGTCTACTTCTTTGGGGGTATTTCGATGATTCGAAGTGTTTGATAATGGCAGTGCAATGGCTTGTCGTACGCGATGCTGGATTATGTATCATCTATATAGCTGAAATGACTGGAAGAAGGGGAAAAACAGTGCCTACCTTGCATGATATCTTGCCGCATCAAACTCGTCCTTAGTTCTGTTGGCTTTAAACTTATAGCCGGAATCGACTGCACTGGAGAGGACTGAAAAATCTCGTCGACCAGGGGTGCTTGACAAGGCGCTGATGAGGCCGATTTGCCTGCTTTGTTGTACCGTGAAAAATGAAGCGTTGAAAGAGTGAAGCTGTGGATTGTCATTATGACTGATGATAAATCCATAAACTAACAGAGGATTTATGTGACATTTTTTGCGTTGAAAGAGTGAAGCTGTGGATTGTCATTATGACTGATGATAAATCCATAAACTAACAGAGGATTTATGTGGCATTTTTTGTTTAGTTTTTCTCTAAACGAACGCGGCTTTGCTTGAGCAGAGAATCGGCACATTTTCGTGGTCTTGTGCTAGATCCTTCTCTCAGAACGACCTCATGGCTTTCCAAGTTTCCCGATTGCCTAATGGAAGACCAACTTACATGATTCTCAGCGATATCATAATATAGTGTATCTCGCGAACGTTCGGCTTCTCGGGTAATTTACTGTTATTAAACTGTACAAATTGTTGGCCGTAAAGAGAGAAAAATGACCTCTAGCGTTCATATTTTCGTCGATCAAAATCTACTTGGCACTCTCATTCTCTTATTCCTTCAAACTGAGAGCAAAATCCTCGCCTCTCTCTTTCAGAGCCGGGTATGGCCCGTTCGAAAAAGGTCGTTCTTGCGATAATATATGAAACATAAAGACAAGAGAGTCGACTCATGTGCTGTTTTCAGCTGGCCCTTTCGTTCAATGTTTGCGCGACAGCGGCATTCGTTCGATCCATCATTGGATGGAAGCGCTGTCCTGTCGGAATAAAGAGGCATAAATAAGAACGGTTGACAGTAAACGGATCCCTCTTTCATTCAATGGTTTAAACCAACAACACAAATTCCGCGCGAAGAACTTGATTGATGAGTAAGGATCTGGCATCACTTTTAAAGCTAATTACAACAGTAGCAACAACACGACACAAATCCTAACTGAGTCCTAACTCTCTTCTTCTTGCTCTCCAAGAATCTTCTCATCTCGACTCGCTCCACGAGCTCGATGGAAATGCCAAAGATAACAGTTGCCCAAAAGAAACGGTCTCCGTTTCCCTCGCGCGCGACAAGCCGTTCACCCTCCCTTCTCCTCGAACTCATCCCCCAGTAGGGCCAGGACCCATCGTCGGCCACCTCCATCAATGGCTTCCGAAGAACCCATCACCGATTCTTTCAGGGGCGTGTCTTCTTCTTCTTCTTCTTCTTCCAGTACCTGAATGGGAAGGTGGCGAATGGGGGGGTTGGAGCTTGTGGGCATTGTGGAGGCGATGTCTTTTCTAGGGAGGGAAGAGAGGATCTTCGGAGCATATACTTGAGGAGGTACCAACTTTTTTGTTGTCCCACTAACGCTGGAACGGAATGGACGCGTCGACCTGCCTCTTTCTGACGTCGGTGTGTCGTCCTTCGGTTTCTCTCGTTTTCACCTTCCTTCTGTTTTTCCTCTTTTTGCTTCCTTTCGTAAATTCATGGCATAAGGAAAAAATAAGATGGAAAACATGTCTTTTAGATAGCTTTTATTTTTTTTGTTGAAAAGCAGACTAACTAATATATGTCGGTTGAAATTGATTATAAATTTGGTGAATCACGTGTTGTGAAAATATGCCTTTATTTCAAATTAAGACGAGAAGTATAACGAAAGCTTTGGTATTTGAAATTACTGAATAAGGCTTGCGAGAACCGTGCCATTCCAACCCTTGGCATTGTCGCGGGTCGGTAAACCCCGGGATGATGTATGGGCACATCTCTCGACATTTTGGTGACGGTGTTAGCAATGATTATGATGGAGGATTTGATTGCATGGATTAAGGGAGTTTGGAACTCGGTCGTTAAAACACTTAAATCGCAAAAAAAACGAGAATTGGATGGCTGACTATGTAAATATTTCAAACAATGTTGAGCATAGGGAATGGAGGATACTTTAAAAGCACATTCTATCGTGTGCTACCCACCCAACAATCTTTTCAAAATAGAATATCAAGAAGTTTGAATTACTTATAATTGTTAAGTGTAATCGAAATGAATCTGAAGAGCGAGGCGAATCATACTACAAATAGGACCCCGATTTATCCATAGTATAGACAACATACCCATAATCCCTCTAAATTTATTTTTTTGAGACACCTAATATTATGATGTGCAAAGTCACAATCGGAGCACCTAGTCCTAGTCAACATCCTTAAAATCCTCGGATATCTAACTAACAAGATTTCGTCACCCCTGAAAGTGATCCTAAATCCATGCACAAATTCTGCCAAGCTGTTAACCACATCACAAATTTTTTTTTATTTTTTTCTGGCCAGTGGATATCTGTATCTATCTATTTTTCTAGGAGCCCCATTCGATGTTTCGAAAAAGAGAAAAATCGAAACCAATTCGAGCTTGATCTATTCTGATAACAACTAGAAGCAAAGCCAAGCATTTCAAACGCAACAGATAATCTATATCCTAAACTACCACTACTACTACTACTCGTACAAGTATTTCCTTGACGTTGAGGAACTAATATCGTGAACCGAATATTCCCAACAATTCCCATGATCAAATCGTATATATATCGAACACATTGTGTCACACCCTTCACACACACAAACACAAACACAAACACTGATAGCTTCATCGCTCAGGAGTTGAACAGAAGAGAGGGAGAGGCACGACGCCCGCCATGGCGAAGGATCAGCTGGAGGTCCTCAACGTGCTGGACCAGGCCAAGACCCAGCTCTACCACTTCACCGCGGTGGTGATCGCCGGCATGGGCTTCTTCACCGACGCGTACGACCTCTTCTGCATATCCCTGGTGACCAAGCTCCTCGGCCGGATCTACTACTACGTGCCCGGGTCCTCGAAGCCCGGCAGCCTGCCCCCAAACGCGGCGTCGGCCGTGAACGGGGTCGCCCTGTGTGGGACGCTGGCCGGGCAGCTCTTCTTTGGGTGGCTTGGGGACAAGTTGGGCCGCAAGCGCGTCTATGGCATCACCCTTATGCTCATGGTGGGGTGCTCCATCGCCTCCGGTCTCTCCTTTGGGAGCTCGCCCAGGGCCGTCATGGCGACCCTTTGCTTCTTCAGATTCTGGCTAGGTGAGTTTCTAAGTAGTGTTGGATGAATTGACAATGTTAGGTGCACGATCATACGTTCGATTGAAAGTAGATTTTGCTCCAAAAAAAAGAATAATAATGCGGTATCACACGAATTGGCGTGAACTAGTAGTACGTTATTCTGATGTTCACCGTTGTGCTGATTGGCTAGGTTTTGGCATCGGAGGGGACTATCCATTGTCCGCAACGATCATGGCGGAGTACTCCAACAAGAAGACCCGCGGCAGTTTCATTGCGGCAGTGTTCGCGATGCAAGGGTTCGGGATCCTCGCGGGTGGGACGGTCGCCATCGTCGTCTCATCCATCTTCAGCGCTGCGTACCCCGCGCCGCCATTCTCCGTAGATCCCTTGGGATCCACCGTCCCACAGGCAGACTACGTGTGGAGGATAATCCTGATGTTTGGTGCACTGCCGGCGGTCCTGACCTACTACTGGCGGATGAAGATGCCGGAGACGCCGCGCTACACCGCCTTGGTGGCGAAGAACGCAGAGAAGACCTGTGCCGACATGTCGAAGGTCTTGCAAATTGATATCCAAGTCGAGAAGCAAGACCTCGAGAGCCAAGGCCGGGGTGAAACCACCCGGTTCGGGCTCTTTTCGAGAGAGTTCCTCCGTAGGCATGGCTTGCACTTGCTGGGCACAACAAGCACTTGGTTCTTGCTTGACATTGCCTACTACAGCCAAAACCTCTTCCAGAAGGACATATTCAGCGCGGTTGGATGGCTACCTGCGGCGAAATCCATGAGCGCCCTCGGCGAGCTCTACAAGATCGCCCGTGCCCAAACCCTAATCGCTCTGTGCGGCACTGTCCCGGGCTATTGGTTCACCGTCTTCCTCATCGACCGCATCGGCCGGTTCACCATCCAGTCCATCGGGTTCCTCTTCATGTCGGTGTTCATGTTCGCCCTAGCCTTACCGTACCACCACTGGACCCTCAAGGAGAACCGCATCGGGTTCGTGGTCATGTACGGGCTGACCTTCTTCTTCGCCAACTTCGGACCCAACAGCACGACCTTCGTCGTCCCCGCTGAGATCTTCCCAGCCCGGTTCAGGGCCACGTGCCATGGGATCTCGGCAGCCTCAGGGAAGGCCGGCGCAATTGTGGGCGCGTTCGGGTTCCTGTACGCGTCGCAGAACAAGGACAAGGCCAAGGCCGACCCGGGGTTCCCCGCAGGGATCGGGATGAGGAACTCGTTGATCGTGCTTGCGGTGATCAATCTGCTGGGCTTGCTCATGACTCTTCTCGTGCCTGAATCCAAAGGAAAATCACTCGAGGAAATGTCACAGGAGAATTGCGAAGGTACAGAGAATCATGCCAAGAACGAGTCTGCAATTGTCTAGAGCAACAAGAACAGTAATTACATTAATCTCTCTAGATATAATTCTGTAAATTTGGCATTGATCATTAGGTCTGCCTTCAGTTTTTTACATCTCTTCTTCCTTTTTGGATCTTTGATTAATGTTGCCAACTGAGTTTTTTTACCGCATGACCAAGTTCAGTTTTTGGTTTTGGAGCTATGATTTCATATGTTTATTACGTAGAAGTATGTTACTAATGTTTATCTTATGATATAATTTTTTTGATGCACCACCATAGTTGCATGTTGAGAGATATTTGTTGGCACGGAAAAGTAGTCCGATTTTGAGGATTAGTTAACTGTTAGCTAAACGCTAAGTGCACATCAGAAAGAAAATTAGATACTAATCACGAGATCAAATCCATTGATATTTTATGCATCTATAAATATTCAAATTCAAAAGATTATGATGTTATCTGTCATCTACATTTTGAACTAATGGAAATCAAAGAAACTACAGTGAAATTTCATATTCTTAAAATTTTCAATTATGATGAATTTCTTTTAATTTACATATATTGACCCGATCGATCATTGATTTCTTCTCAAATTAGGCAAATAAAAAAACTATCTGCCTAATTAGGTCCACCTTATATTGAACTATGACCAACGCTTTTTATGAGTGATTATATTTTCTTTCATGATTATTCTTGAGAGGATGGATAAGTTTCGATCCAAATCTAAAACCTTGCTCCCGCCCTTTTTTTTTTAAACATGGGTTCTCAATCTCCCCTATGTTCTAACTTGGTGAGAACTCTTAAATTGCTTTAAGCCTAATTACTGTCTCCGAATGAAAAAAAATTAATATGATTTCTAAATAGAGCGTTTGTGTTCACATTAATTACATTGAAAGCAAATGCAGAGTATATTGATAGCTTAGTAGTATCGCACTCTCTTTCATGAGATCACAAGCTCGAGTCATGCCGTGAGCAAACCTTTCCTACATCTACTACCTATGTGAAAAAGACTTTCGGATTTATGGCATGTTAATAAAAGTTGCAATGAGCATGTAAAATTCACAAGTGGACAGAGTTATAATGACTCAAATCGAATATTGAGTAGCTAGTGGTGTGCGAGTCTAATCCTATCGACCAGAAAGGATAGCTTAATTGGTGGTCCCTTTCCATCCTTTTTAGCTTATAAGACGAGGAAAATCGCATATCTCTAAGCATCTGGTGATTGACTTCGGTTAAAAAGAGCAACACTAGGCATATTGTGACTACCGTCTATACAAAAGCCGTTGAAAAGGAGTAACACTTGGAATACTCCGACTACCGTACAAAAGTAGCAAACCAAAACGATTTGACTAAGTGCAAGTGAGTCATATTCAATAATCATAAAAATAAAATGAGTGGTATTAATTTAGTATAGCCATTTGTTCAAATAGGGATGCCTGGCTAGCATTATTCTTAACATATCTCACCAAAAACAGGGTGATCGGTACCCGATCTCGAATCAAGAACCTACATTGTGAAATCCCCCCATTTCAACAAGCCGGACTAGGGAACCGACACGACCAATCAGTTCCGGAATCGATCCATATTTATGTTTCGGTAAGAATTAAATATATCCTAATTATATTAAAGAAAATCGCATAATTTTGTTGCAAAAATTTCTGTTGGTGAAGTTCTCATGTGGATTTTTTTGACCATAGTGCGGACCCCCGATTCAGATCTTGGAGAGCGCAAACAAAATTTTAGCGGGGGTTCCAAAAACCGGCTCCATCCGGTAATCGAACCGGACTCGATACTCATCCCCGCCACAAAATTGTCTGGGCGCACAAACAATATCACGGGCACGGACAAGATGGTTTCCATGGAAAAGTTTAAAATCCTTTTGGTATTGTAAGCGACGGGTGGAGAGCATCGAGAGAACCCCCGATTTTCTTCGTAAAGTACGAGAGGATCACGAAAAGACGCATCTTCCGATGTACCCGTTATCTTGCCCCGCGATGAACGGCCCGAGCAGCTACTTTAAAGCCCCCGATGCTCGAGTCCAATTGTTCCGTATCTGCACGATGTACTCGTGGACCGGGGGGGAATTTCCTTATCTAGAATCGAATGGATCCAACGACGTATGCCGACCGGGGGTTAATCAAAGCCCCCGTTTTTCAAAGTCACCGGGAGGAGGCTCCACAAAAAAAAACATTCACTCGGATCGCACGCGATCCGCGTGTCCATGGGAGAAGGAAAAAGATTCGGTGCGGCCGAGCCCCACGCTGCGCGAGCAGGGATACAAACTGTAGATCTACCGTAGACACGTTCGGCGCCCCCCCCTTCTTCCGTACGCGGTGTGACCGAAGGGGGAAGACGACTCGGCCCGAAAACAATTTCCCCCTTTTTTCTTTCCAAAAATTCGAGACGAAAAAATAAAAAAAAAAACAAATAACGAATGACGAAAAAAGGGAGGAAAAATCAATTTGCCATGATAAATTTCCATCTTTCTTCCTTCCCTTCTCCCCTCTTCGCCCCTCTCTCTCTCTCTCTCTCTCTCTCTCTCCCTTGTCTTCGCTCGCCTGTTAATTTCTCTCTCTCTCTCTCTCTCTTTTCCACCGCAGGTCTCTTTCTCTCTCTCGCTCTCGTCGCTGATTCGCATCTGTGTTGTTGTTGTTTCGGATGCGTTCGTACGGCATCGATTCGCGATTCTGAACTTCGGGAACGCATTTTCTCTGTTTTTTTTTTTTTTTTGCAGGGAGGGATTTCGTTCTTCTTTTCTTTTTTTTTTTGGCCACTTTTGTGGAGGAGGAGGAGGAGGAGGAGGTGGTGAGATTCGATGGCGGCGCCACCGGCGAGGGCCCGAGCCGATTACGATTACCTGATTAAGCTCCTCCTGATCGGCGACAGCGGTTCGTTTCTCCCCCCCTTTCCCTTTGCTCGCTCCTGGGGTTTGTTTGTTTGTTTGTTTTTTCCTTTTTTTTTTTGTGCCCTTTCGTGTGCGCGCGTGCTTGGTTTCCTGAGCAAATGAGGGAGGGGGGGGGGGGGGGGGATCAGTAGGAGTTTGGGCTTGGCGCTGTGCGCTTGTTTTGGTGCTCGTTTCGTCGATTGGGAGATATGATTGTGAGGTTCTGGGGTAGGGGGGGGGGGGGTGCGATCGAGCAATTCAAAGGGTTTGGTTTTTTTTTTGGGTAGTTTGTCGGGTGCATTTGATGAATTGGCGTGGCCTTACGCTCGTTCGTGTGCGCGCGGGCGCGCTTGTTTCTGGGATTCATTGTTGGGGTCTTTCGACGACTCGAAAGCCATTGATCTTCTACCCCGAAAAGCGAGACGGGATTGGCTCCGGGGGTAAATGAAAGTTAGATGAGATTGAGACAATGGTAGTACTGCGATAGAGATTTAGAGCTCATCATCGGTATACCTTTTCTTCTGGACTTATATCGAAGTTCGAAGCTATAACGATAAATGATTCCAAGGCTCATTAGTTTGACCAACGAGGCAAGTATGCACATGACGATGTTATCTCTCTCTACACTTGTGTCTTCTGGCCAAGTGCGTGCGTGCAAATGACGCGATCTTTCCCGGCTTATTACTCTGTCGGGCATATGTCGCCGTCTGTGGTTGCTTTTGCTTCGGACAAATCGGCCCCCTGGACCTGGGAACTCATATATAGTCCATTTTAGATTGAGATGAGGCATCTAGGCTTATTTGACATGTGATTAAATGAACATTGGGCAGGAGGAGGGCATTTTGCTTTTCTGGCTTGTTTTGTGAACTAAATCTTTCTAAACCTCCAGTTTAATGATCAGGCGCATTAGTCCTGAACTTTGGAATCGGTTCGAAATCGTAAGTCCCATGATAAGAACACTTGGTTCAAGCTTGATGAGGAAATTCTCTTCTATTGACCTTTGTTTTCCAGGAGTTGACCCCGTTGTGTCTGAAAGGAGGCAATTAAGCAGTTTAATCCTTACAGATTAGCTAAATACGCTTCTCGAGTTGATTGTTGACTATACTAATTCTCCAGTTTTGCGGACTTGATTCTATGTATTTGGTTTTGATGGCGTAAATCTTCATTTGACGATTTCCAACAAAAAAAATCTATAGTTAGTTACTCAAGTGTTGTGTTGTATTGTGCTGGTCTCTTGTTGTGTATGAGTTTTAGTACATCTATAGCAAAAGTAAGAGAGTTTTGCTGTGTGCAGATCTGACGACGGTGTTATGTTCCAAAATGTTTCAGGTGTTGGGAAGAGTTGTCTGCTCTTGAGATTTTCTGATGGTTCCTTCACAACTAGTTTCATCACCACTATAGGGTTTGTATCATGAGGATGAGTATATTATTTCCTGTATATACTATTCTAGTTATATCTATGCAATTTAGAGTTCAGAGGCGTAATGGGTGGGAAGATCACGATAGTTCAGAGTTCTCTGAGGATTTCATGACAGTTCAAAGATCAATTATAATGCTCGGCATAAATGATAGACATGCGGGGATAGTTCATCTAGAAATTGAAAAGAGTGGAATTTACATATCCATGCTCCTTGTGTGCAGCTCTTTAATTCTTTCGTTTGGCTTGATCGATGGATATCAGATCAGGGGATGTACAGGAGGAGGGGAAAGTGGATGTTCCTTTGAGCTTAAACTCTGCAATATTGGAAATTCTCTCATTTGTTGTTCTTTTTCCTCCTAACAGCATTGACTTTAAGATCAGGACCATCGAGCTTGATGGAAAGCGAATTAAATTACAAATCTGGGATACTGCCGGGCAGGAGCGATTTCGAACCATCACAACAGGTTTGATTGAACTGAAAATAGCGTCTGTTCTTTAATGGATGACATTTTTTGTTGGGATTTTTGTACAAGGGATGCATTCTAAGCCACGTTTGCCTGAAAGCTTTATTTATCGGTTCCATAGTAAAAACTGAAGCTACCTGCTATTCTACTGGATTAGATCGAATGTGATGTATTTGGCATTTTGAGGCTATGTAGAGCTCAAATGTTTGATCACAAGAGTAAGTTGTTTCCAGCTTTAAGCTATTCTTATACGAGAGAGCTGATTCTTTTGACGCATGAACATAGACTTAAAACTCGATAGATGGAGAGATGTGAAATCTTGTGGAAACCACAGCATTAGGCTGATGACATAACCACTCAGCCAAAGGAGCATTGATTATGGCATAGTACACGTCTTTGCTTGCTGACACCTGAATGAGTTTCGAGCATATAGCCCTAATAGCCTCTTCTTTCCCTAAATCCTTATTGTCCTCCTTGAGGTTGCATCTTACATCATGTTTAATAGTTCTGTTTTTGCCTATTTAAGTTCTAACAGCTACAGATTTATTCACTTTTTTTTTCTGGTTTTTCAGCTTATTATCGTGGAGCTATGGGCATTTTGCTGGTGTATGACGTCACTGATGAGTCATCTTTTAACAGTAAGTTCTCCATATTTGAAGATTTTTGGTGGTCCTGCTTTTGTGTAAGTTGCGTATTAAAATGCTGAAGGCATCAGGCTGATACTTAATCGGTAAATTGCTATGATTCTTTATACTTGATCGTAGCGTTTCTAATGAAGAAGCTAGTTTGTGTATTGTCTGTTGATTGTTCTTAAAAAAATTTCTATGAGCATTAACTCGAATTTTGATGGAGTACTTTCCTTGTTATACTTCAGATATCAGAAACTGGATTCGCAACATTGAACAGCATGCTTCTGACAATGTAAACAAAATATTGGTGGGAAACAAGGCTGACATGGACGAAAGCAAAAGGGTAAATGACTTGGCTTTTTGGCTGTTATGATTAGCACTTTCTTTCCAAGAACCTTCGTCCCCCCAAAATCCTTACCATGACTCCCTCTCTCTCTCTCTCACTGTGTGTGCACACTGTCATTGTTCTATGATGGGTATGAATGCTTGTTTATGGAGAGAGGCGTGTCAGTGCACTGTGTACTGTTCTTCCGCTTTATTTTTTTTTTAGTTGAGTAAAGAGAAACTCGCTATGAGGCACGAAGGGGGTGCCAACACATGTACAAAAAGAGCTTATATCCAGAAATGTCTACTGATGACTAGAATGTACTTTTCTTTGGCATAGGCTGTACCTACTTCCAGGGGTCAAGCTCTTGCTGATGAATATGGTATCAAGTTCTTTGAAACAGTAAGTTGCAAGTTGATGCTAGAAGTAATTCTGCAGTTGGAATCATGCTTTCTGCTCTGTTAATGTTAGGGATTCAATGATGCAGAGTGCAAAGACCAATATGAATGTCGAGGAAGTATTTTTTTCAATTGCAAAGGATATTAAGCAAAGGCTTGCAGAAAGTGATACGAGGGCTGAGGTAAAATTAGTTTTTTTATTTTTCAGTTTCCTTTTCAATTCCTTAAGCATTGCAGATTTGCTCCATCACACTCATACCTGCACTTGGTACTCCTAAACTAGCGAAAGAACTTTCTGCTGCAGCAGAGCCTAAGAGTCAGTTCCATGTTATCGTGAGAATGAACCAACATTAGGGTAAACTTAACGATGAAATGTGCGAAAAAATATTGCTAAATCATCTATGCGGCGGTTCACAAAAAAGAAAGCTGTCGAGATGTGTATATTACTATCTTCCAGTCAGTTATTTTTATGAACCACCTTTGACGAGTATGTTCGGTCTTTGCAAATTAACAGACATATGGCTGTCCAACACGAAAATGTCATCTATAATGGCCTATTGCACTAGTGGACGGCATATTGCCACGCTTAACACGAAAAAAGTACAGTGGAATTGACATTCTGTCACGCCTACTGCACTAGCCCTTTCCCCGTTTGCAGTAGTTTTGTGTATTCAGAATTGCGATATGAGAGGGGTGTTATCGGAAAGGAGAAAAGAATGACATGATGAATGCTTGATGTCTGATGCCTCGTAATACGATTAGAAAATCATTCGTAAGTAGAGAGGGGATTGAATGAATATTTGATGCTGCTGCCATTTGCTTTCAGCCTCAGACAATCAGGATAAGTCAACCAGACAAGACAGCTGATGCTGGCCAAGCTCCACAAAGATCCTCTTGCTGTGGCTCGTGAAGAAACAAAACAGGACAGAGGAAAATACAAGGAGATTCTGCGAGTGGTGGTATCTTTAATTTTTTATGAATGGCTTATCAGGATGCCAACATGGTGGCTTGGCTTCACATATGTATTCTGCCTATTGTTATTTTTATGATAGATCCGTTTTTCGGGATGCTTATGTTAGACTCTGTCTTTTCCGTCTTCACAACTTCGGTATGTCCTAGTGGTTCCTCCATTTCTTTGTACCTTCTCACTAGTGTGCTTATTTTGATATAGAAGATTCTGGGATTAGCCTTTTTCTCTTTCGAAGGGGGAAAAAATTAATCTGAATAGTGTTTTCTGTTAACTGGCTACATCTTGTGAGAGGCGGGAGTATGTGACGTATCTTTCGTCAGAAATCGTGTTTGGTTTTGCATTGTTGTGGAGTCTCCTTGAGGAGAATTTCCCGATGAAAGATGGTAGTGTTGATCACGGCCTGTTTGTTTATGTATGCTGGTTCATCAGGAATCAACTCGTCGATCTTCAAGCAAATTGAGCTCTCTGCCGGAGGATGAAACATTAAGTCTTTCACAATGTAATGAATCACAAGAAGATGTCGTGGGCATTCACTACATCGAATCAATCATCGTGTACCAACTATAAGGCTCCTCATACACAATGAGGAGAGACACATCGTTGGCGGGGTGAATGGTGATTATGGACGCCGAACGCGACTCTTTTTAAATGAACCTTGCAAGGGTCGATCAACATCCGGCTTGGGTGGAACACAATGCCCCATCTTGCAATAACAGCACTTGTTTATAGTGGTAAATCTAGATTATGCTTGGAGTTGCACGATCATGTTTTGCTCAGGATGGAAGGTTAATACTGGACACTAACTAGTGACAACCACGTCATTCATTATAAATTACGATCACCATCATCCCTCTCTATCTCTCTCTCTTTCTCTCTCTCTGTGCAAATCTTCTAACCCCATTGCCCAATTCACCCTTTGTTCCCTCCCTTTTCAAGAGGGAAGAAAACTGAGTATCTTGTTGTGTTGTTAGGATTGAGGAATGCGTGCTGCTGCTCTTTCAGTGGTGGCCTATTTAATCTAAATTAAAGACCACTGTGGTGCTAAGGTCATTCCGCACCACCTTCTGTCCAACCGCTGATTTGCTTCTTCATCTGGAGTTTTCTGTGATTAGTATTTCTTACTCATTTGGTTGAGGGATTTCTCTAACAACCCATTATATTTCTTTGAGATTTGTCGGTAAGTTATCACATACTTCTTTTAACTTTAAAAATCGGATAATACATTAGACTTAATCCAGACGGCAATTATTCGTTAAATTCCAGGCAGACCTGATTACGATGACGACAAGAACTCTCAAATGAAGCCAACAAAAGGGGAAAGGAAATGCAACTTGAAAAGAACATTGGCAAACAAGCAAATCAATTTTATTAAAGAAGTACCATTTGAGAATTTAATTCCCTAATTGTCTTACCAATGGGCAAGTAGCTACAAAATTGTGGACTCCATTAGTGCAACTTGAAAAGAACATTGGCAAACAAGCAAATCAATTTTATTAAAGAAGAACCATTTGAGAATTTAATTCCCTAATTGTCTTACCAATGGGCAAGTAGCTACAAAATTGTGGACTCCATTAGTGCAGGCGACGATTTCGATTTTCCTCTAATGACAATTGGGACTGCGCCTAATGAATGCTTTTACACGACCGCATTGACATGTCCATGAGATGGATGGCATTTTGGTTAGCAAGACCAAATTGAAATCAACAATCTTTCTCTAATCCTTTAATTAGCAGCCCCAAAAAGTTCGATCATGGAGATAAAATTTGGGATGGAAGAAAGGAGGCGTCTTCTTTTCTTAACATCCTGATCTTTTTAACAACGCACACGAGTCCGTACGCTGTTGTCTGTTTATCATTCTATAATGGTATCCGATTTAGATGGTATCATCAAAATCGACTTCACAACTGTGGGCATGGAAGTTGACTTTGCTACTACTTGTGTTGACTAGTTGCCGCCTCAGCAAGGTTAAGAATGTCTCTGTCTCTTTCTGATGTTCGTCTAAATTATAGAAGAACCCCAATCAAGGTTAACTCAACGAGAGGGATATCGTCTTTGTCGTCTATAGTAGTAAAATCCAATGGGCCGCCACATTCAATTTGCATCTTGATCCACAATCACAGTAAGAATCTCCTTTTGTTCATATTTGATGCTTCAACATGAATGCCTTTAACTTGAACACGCATCTTAACACTTTAAAAAACAAATAACAAAGGGGCTTGTAACTAGACTCGTCAAATGGGTGGGTCATGTCGGGTTTGGGTCGGGTCGAAAATGGTCCGACCTTAATTGGCTAATTTAACCCGTTTTGATCCATTTTCAAGTAATACAAATCTAGTGACCTATGTCCAATCCGACCCATATTACTAAAACATTTTTATATTAAAGTCAATATAGGAAAACTCATACCTCAATTGAGGTGAGAGAGGAGCGAGAGAGCACAAAATTGAGTGAGGATGAGAAAGCGAAGAAAGAGTCATGGAAGTGAGTTGAGTCTAAGTAAGTTGTGAACTCATTTAATACTAATATTAGTTTGGGTTTTATCATTCTAAACCCATTTATAACCCATTTAATACACATAACTAATCCATATAATAACTCAACCAATCAAACACTGGTTAAGAAACAGGTCAATGACCCATTTTGACAGGTCTACTTGTAACCATGGTCATTATCAGAACCCGTAATACATACTCTTCGCAGTAGAGCCCTGTTATAGAGATTATGTAGAAGAACAAAGGAAACCAAGCCACTCAGTCATAATATAGAAGTGAAAACAGTTTTGAATCTACCTAATAAGATATATTTAATAAATATTAGATCATATCGATAATTGCAAGATTTAGAACTTTCACTTTGTAGTTTCTACAAGCTTCGTTCATAATCGAAAGAAATTTCCTCCGAGCTTATGGACATCAATCATGTGCAAAATTAACTAAAGTTAAAAACGTAACATCCATACTTGTAACACATCAACCGAATATATTAGTCTTAATTCAAACAGTAATTATTTGTTGAATTCTGATGCGAAAACGATCGGGACAACGACGAGACCAAAAAAGAGGGAAAAGAAATGTGAAGTGACGTGAAGCTTTTTCGGAGCAACTTGAAAAGAACTGGTGAAAAAAGGAAATTTATTTAATTAAAGAAGTTCCATTCGTAAATCAAATTCCCAATTGTGTTACCAATGGGCAAGAAGCTACAAATTGTGGACTCCATTAGTGTAGGCGACGATTTCGATCTGCCTCTAATGACGATTGAGACTGCGCCTAATGAATGCTTTGACACAACCACTTTGACATGTTCATGAGATGGATGGCATTTTGGTTAGAAATAGCAAATTCAAATCAACAATCTTTCTCTTAACCCTTTAATTAGCAGCCAAGAAAAGTTCAATCATGGAGATAAAAATTTGGGGTTGGAAGAAGCGAGGCGTCTTCTATTCTTAACACCCCGAATAGCTTGTCCGTTTATCATTCTCTAATGGTGTCCGATTCAGATGTTCATCATCAAAAATCGACTTCAAAACTGTGGACTTGGACGTTGACTTTGCTGCTGCTAGTGTTGACTAATTGCTGTTGAGGTCAGAGTCGGAAAGACAGTCACGACTATCTGGTCCGTCCGTTCCTCGAAAAGCAAGACCCTATGACGACTCGCTCGAGGTCGAACCCGATCCGAGATCGCTCCCCGTCTTTCAAAGGAATCTGATGTGCACCCTCAGGAAGGTAAAAGAATGTCTCTATCTCTCTTAAGTTAATCTAAATTATAGAACCAAAATCAAGGTTGAAGTGCTGGGTAAGAAACGTCAAAATAATGTGGTGAAGTCAAAATAAGCCAAGCACAGATCAACAGCATGATTTATTATTCGAGCGGTGAAGTGCAGAGTAAGAAAGGTGCTTTGGTCAAGAGTAATGTTGCGCGTGCCTAGTCATACCGGGGCCACGCTAATTATGCTTGTAACCCATCAATCGTGAAGGAAAAGTTGTATGTCAAATATGGGGTTCTTTTGTTTTGTGCCCGTACAAAAGACCCAACTCTTGCCCAAATTTAGTACAACACGTGTGAATTTTGGACAGCTCGATTTAAATATTCCCTTTCTTCTCCTTTCTTTTTATCTTCCTTTTTTTTGTTATCCTTCCTCTTTTGCCCTTCCCCGAGATACCCACCGCCATCGCCCCCCCTTCGTCGTCATGCCTCGCCGGCCTCCGTTCAAGCCGCGTGACGCCACCACCTCGCGTCCTCCCGGCCTCCCAAGCTCCCTCCCTCCCTCCCTCTTCTCCGTGGCAGAAAGAGATATTGTGTTCTGGTTTAGATCTTTTTTGGAGTAAATTTCTCAAGAAATAGGGGCATTAAAGTCATCTCGTGCGAATTGCATTGGTGATTGGGTGTAATTTCGTGTATTACGAAAAGAGAAAGGCCTAGTATAGATTGCTCTTTGGATGGGAAAATTATCCAAAAAGTCCTAAACATATTGCATTTTTACCAATTCAATCCTAAACCTTTTTAAATTTGCCAATTCAGTCATATACATTTTTACTTCTTGCCAATTGAGTTCATTACAATTTTGGCAGGCCGGCTGACGTGGCCGCCAACCGTCTGGCCAATGCTGACGTTGCAATTTTTAATATTTTTTTTCAAATTTTTTAGTGTTTTTTTTTCTAACTTCTTCCTTTTGGCTGGTCCGGCGATCGGCGACCAGCCAGAGGTGAGGGCCGGCGAGGTGGCCAGAGAGGTCAACCTCATCGGCCTCTGGCAAAGCTCTCCCCTGCCGACCACCAGTGAGGACGAACCTCGCCGGCCCCTGGCTGGGCAAGGTCACCTTGCCCAGCAAAGGTGACGCTGACCTCGCCATTGCGACCCAGGCGAGGGAGATGGGTCATGACGGCGAGGTCGGCCTCACCTTGGCTAGGCGAGGCTTGACCTCGCCCAGATCTGGCGAGGCCAACCTTGCAGTCGCAACCCAAGCGAGGGAGATGGGTCGCGATGGCGAGGTTGGCCTCGCCTTTGTTGGGCGAGGCGACCTCGCCCAGCTAGGGGCTGACGGGGGCGAGCTTCGCCAAAGGCCGGCGAGGTCGATCTCGTCGGCCCTCGCCTTTGGCCGGTCGCCAGTCGCCGGACCGGCCAGAGGAAAGAAGTCAGAAAGAAAAAAAGATTAAAAATTTTGAAAAAAATATTTAAAAATTGCCACATCAGCGTCGGCCGGTAGCCACGTTAGCGCCGGCCGGCCAAAATTAGCCGAATGGACTCAATTGGCAAGAAGTGAAAAGGTTTATGACTGAATTGGCAAACTTAAAAAGGTTTAGGATTGAATTGGCAAAAGTGCAATAGGTTCAGGACTTTTTGGACAATTTTCTCCTCTTTGGACTTTGTGGAATTCATTGACTCAGCGAAATCCACCTCCAAGAGTTAAGTGGTTACAATCTTCCCTCTGCTTGATTTTCCTTTTTGAGTGCTCAGTGAGATGTAAATCACATAGATCCTGCAAGAAGAATGGGGCCATTTGAGGAACTATATAGCATATTCCTCATCAATGTTCACCTGATCCTACTTTAGTTTGATGTAACAACGTAGATATGGTCAATTGAGTTCTTATGGCACCAAGACAGGCGATTCTCCGTAGGTTTTTGTTAAGTCTGTTGCGGTACAAAGCATTCTAGATCGCACCACGCGTGTAATAGGTAGCGATTATAATTAATGTCCCTTGAGTCCTTACGCTTTTTATGCAATTTACCTTACTCTGTTAAAGTTGAATTCTTTTTCTCTACCGATGATCGTCGTATATACCAATGATAGTCAAGTGCTTTATAGTTTCTGTTTAGTAACCAATTGTTATAGCTAGGAAAAGTTATAGCTCTAAATTTTACGGAACATTTGCTTAGCGCCTCAAGAATTACCGAAGTGCTCGTCTAAAAAAATTACTCGAGCAAAAAGAATTTGGCATTTTTAATATAGGTCGATGCGTCATTCTGCGTATCGATTATTTTGTAGGGAACAGGAGTGCGGACGAAAGCACGAAATCTAGTTCTCGAGAGCCACAACTCTCGTCCAGTCAAAAACAGCTCATCCGCATATTTAGGTTTGGAAGACTTCACAAGGAATTGCTTTTTCTAGAAATTCCATCCAAGGCAAAAAATCGAAGTGGAGACCACACTGAGGAGTACAATGATTCAATATTAAAACAACATGTTCGTACGCAATGAAAATGCACTCCCTGGCTTGATTGGAATAAAGCAAAGGCATCCACATTGGGGACAGGGTTTGCTCAATCGATTAGTGCTCTACTTTTGCTTCCATGGAAATAGCTATTTTGAATTCTGGTGGGAATGACGTGTTTTATACCTCTTTTCACGAGTGACACATAGTTCCTTGGCAAATCTGTTTACGGTTTACATGTAGTGGAGTCCGTAGACTACGAAGGGAAACGTGCTGGGATTGTTTCCTTTGCCCCCCATGCAGATGGTGTTTATAACCACAGCCATCTGCATGCAAGCCCCATAACAGATTAACACACGCACAGAGCAAAGGTTTGAGTGAGAATGGGTGAGGATGGGGAGAGAGTGGTTCGGGTCTTGAACCGGGTCAAGCTGTACTTGGCGGTGGTGCTCCTCCAGTTCGGATTGGCGGGGATGGCGATAGTCGCCAAGTTCTCCTTCAACAAAGGAATGAGCCAGCACGTCTTCGTCGTCTATCGACATGCGTCGGCCACCGTACTCGTTGCTCCTTTCGCCATCCTCTTTGAGAGGTCTCTCTCTCGATCTCGATCTCGATCTAGAAAGTGTCTATAGTAAATGAAAGCACTAATGTTCTGGGAAAATATTGCAATAATTACAGGAAGACAAGGCCAAAAATGACGAGGTCCATCCTTTGGAAGATCTTGTTGCTAGGCTTACTGGAGTAAGAGGATTTCATTTCTTCTCTCTTTTATGTCTTACTTAGAAATATTGGTAGGGGAAAATGAGTCAAATAACATGAATTCATCCCTCTTTCCTTCTCCAAAATGCAACGAACGCAGGCCAGTGATCGATCAGAATCTGTATTACACGGGAATGAAGTTAACAACTGCGTCTTTCACGGCCGCCATGTCCAATATGCTTCCTGCTTTCGCGTTCCTCATGGCCTGGTTTTTCGGGTAATTAATATACGCACTTACTCATTATCTAATATCTCTTTAAGTTTCATGCATTTGACAAAAACTCGAATTAAGCTTGTTGCAAACAAAGTATTTACGTGTCACACGTTACATCGCATTTTGTTGCTAACTCATATAGTTACCTCTTTGGTTAATTCTCCTTCTTCCAATGTGGAATTCGAACGATAGGCTTGAGAGATTGAGCATAAGAAGCAAGCACAGCCAAGCCAAGATAGTGGGAACCCTGGTCACCATAGGAGGAGCGATGCTCATGACTCTAGCGAAAGGTCCTGTTCTTGGTCTTCCATGGACAGAATCAACTTCAACACACGCTGATTCAGATGGTGTTGTGCAAAAACCAATCGAGGGTGCTCTTATGATCACCTTAGGCTGCTTCTGCTGGGCTTCTTTCTTCATTCTCCAAGTAAGTTCCCGCCGTCTATTACTAATCAATAATATTCGAGAGACAACAACGGTGGCATTGTATAAGCACTTCGTTCTAAACAAGAGAGCAAAATGCACGCAGGCGATCACGCTGAAATCATACCCAGCAGAGCTCACATTGACGGCTCTGATATGTCTGACGGGGACGTGCCTCGGAGCGGTTTTCGCTTTTGCGATGGAAAGAAGCAACTTTGCCGCTTGGTCTCTCCAGTTTGACGTCAAGCTCTTGGCAGTTGTCTACGGTGTAAGTCATTTCCCGCCGAAATGGTGAGGTCCATGTCAAAGTCTTTCGGTGTTGGTATGATCACGCTTTCCATGTCCCAGGTCACTCGATACCGGACCCGTAGCATGAGAAAATACACAGTTTTCGGACACTCTAGTCATGAGTTGAAAAGGGTCTCTCTCCTTCACTTTCTTGTGAAGTTCATAACTGATGGATTCATCAAATGCAGGGCATAGTATGTTCTGGGATGGGTTACTACATTCAAGGGGTGGTGATGCAGGTAAAGGGGCCAGTTTTTGTGACTGCCTTCAATCCTCTGCAAATGGTCCTGGTAGCAATCCTGGGATCCTTCACTTTACATGAGATCTTATACCTTGGAAGGTATCTTCTCAATTTTCCCAGAATAGTTCAACCCTAGTAACTTGTTGACTTTTGAAGAATCATCAAGCATTGTTCTTGTTCATGGTATTATCTCGTATGGATCCTCACAAAGTTTGCACTCCGTTTTCCTAGGGTTATCGGAGCACTTGTGATTGTTCTCGGCCTGTATCTTGTCCTGTGGGGCAAGAGCAAAGATCAGCCTGCGACGGGAAGCAGTGAAAAGCAAGAAACGTTGAACCTACAATTAGCCAATACAAGTTTTGCAGACGGGAATGCAGAGGCTGCTGCTTCCTCGTATGTCATCGTTGATGTCACCAAAGTGAGGCCGACCGAAGCCGTTTGAAGGGGAAGAACAAGCTCCAAAAGTAACAGCAATTCAAGAACTTGAGTTGTTTTTTCAAATATGGATATTCGACCTCAATGTTCTGTTGTTTAGTCATGTTTGTTGTGTTTATGTGAAGTTGATGTTCATCACTCAATAAAGCCAAAGCCACCTTTTCGCATGCAATAGTGAAAAAGGCAAATTTTGGTGTAGCCAGGGAATTCTTGCGTCGGGTACTAACTAGTAAACTAATGACTAATGAGCAGGTACGAGTAAGTTGAGTCGAGTACTCTCTCCATGGGAAAGCATAAGCGGTAATTGTTGGGCGAGTATAAATAATTCCCAAGCTTTTAATCCTTCTTTCTTCGGCTATAGAGTCATTATCTCGTGGGTATATTAAAGTTTAGCCTTAATACTGAAATCGATAGGATCTTGAGCTTGCTGGCCACATTCGGTCCGCGGAGCTCAACCTCCGTCTGGCCTTACCTTTCTCGGTTCAGTTCAACCGAAGTTACTTTATGGTAAAGAAAGAAAGGCTAGCGACTATTGACAATTATAGGCACGATTCGGAACAAGTAAGCTCAAAGAACAGTTTAATTTGCAGGAACACAGAAACCTAACCAGGCAGCCACAACGAAGCTAACATGCTGCAAAACTTTACAAGGTCCCATCCTTAAATTTCAGGAATAAAACATCAATTATTTTCCAATAAGATAAAAAGTTCTCGAACATATTTACATAAGTTAAAATGGGCAAGGTCTGATTCACCCAACACAGCAACTTCTACGAGAAAGTCCACCACATAAATAGTCCCGCTTACCCCCAAAGAAAATTGTGCAGACCACCTATTCGACACGGTAAGAGTTGTGCCAAGCACAATGGGAGAAGCAATCCTGTTGCTTATGCTACTGAAGGAAAATTAAACTGCTTGCTCAATTCAAACAGAGTTGATCCCAAAATCCGGTGCAACTTTACCATCTACACCCAGAAAATTATATGTGCAAGCATGGTTATAAGCCATTTCTAGAATTCCCATCTTGATCTACGAGGTACTATCGGAGTATTCACTGATCACAAGAGCAACCTACCAAGTGAACCTGAAAGTGCATGTGCCATTTGTCAAGTAGGCATCGTGACTTCGTCCTTTCCATATATTCGTTGAAGTTCACGGGTCGCAGCTTGATATGATGCTGAGAAGAGGAATCAGGAATTCCATGAGGCCATGAACAATTAATGTCATTTTAAAAACATCGACATGCCAGTAAATTTCAGTGTTCCCTGAATTCAGGTGCAGGCTATTCTAGCTTAGGAGGTCCAGGGAGGAAAAAATGAGCTCACCTTTCCAAATACGAAAGTTCTTTTGATTAATGGGAGACCCTGTGATAGTCTGAATTGTATCAAAGAGCATTTCCTGCTGCGTGTTCTTCAGCTCCTGAACAACTGCATAAATGGTCTTACCATTGTCGAAATAAATGTGATTATTGGGATGCTTAGTCTTGCAACCAGCATGACGCTCGAACTCATAGGCGTTGAGAGACTGTATTTCCATTTCAAATAAAAGAATAAGCTCAAGAACCTCGAACTGCAATTGCTCAATTCACTTTTTCCAAAGTAGAATAAAACTCTTACCTTTGAGTGGTTGCAATTTTCGCATCCACAAAGATAGCCAGTCCCTTTTATTATCCCACGGAGATTTTTCTGCCAAACCAATGTTTTATAAGTAACAAAAACTGATCCGTACAGAAGAACATAAGCTCACAGAAAGGTAAATATGAAAGACTTACTTCACGCGACCAGGAAACGTATTTGACAGGTACTCCATCAAGCATGCCAGTAGATAACAGACTTTTGACATTTGATGGGAAATTGTTTGGAGGCACCTTCTTAGCCGTCTTTGGCTCTTTGTTTTTGGGGATGTTCTCAGCTTTAGAATTTGCTTTCGATGCAGAAGAGCTATTAATAATTGGATCGGCACCAGAACCAACATCCTTCTGGCCTGGATCTACCGAACCCTGAGGCAAAGTCTCGTTGTCTATTACTAATTCGTAGTTGCCAATGATCCCAACTGAGGTATGGGCCCCATGTTCATCTTCAAATCCTCCGAAAGAAATGGTATTGCTCTCACCCTTGTAGTTCTGACCCATGGATAGAATGCCAGAATCTCCTTTCTCATAGGTTGAAGTGTGACCCACCGCAACAACATTTGGATCAGCCTTGTCAAAGGTGCGACTAATTGGTGTCATATTGTCATCAGTTCTGTTATAGGACGAAGCCATTGAGATAAAACTATCGGTTACTTTACCAAAATTCTGGCCCACAGAAATAAAATTTGCATGCTCTTTGTTGTGGGAGGAACCCATGGATAGACCATCCCCTTCTCCCTTCGTATATGATGGACCCATTGCGATGAAATTCCCATCTGTTCTGGCAAAGGGCTGACCCATGGATAAAATATTCTCACCCCGACTCTCATAGTTGTGACCCATTGATATGAAGTTTCCATCTTCCTTAGTGAAGGTGTGACTCATCGGCATGAAACTTTCTTCCCCTTTGTTGTAGCCAGGGGCCATCGAGATATTATTCTCATGCCTATGGTGATAACCCGAGCCTAAAGATATGGTGCTATTGTGGCCCTTGTGATAACCAGTATCAGTAGGAATTGCACTGCCATTGCCACTTCTATAGGAAGTACCCATTGTCGCAGAAATGCTGTTCTCAGGTTCCCTAACTTGATTAACTTTGACTTTTCTGATTCCTCCAAAATTCAGAAATGCTGAGGGATCTTCAGTGCCATGAGCCATAGACAAACTTACTGATGACTCATTTCCATATTGACCTTCAAAGCTCTTTCTTACCATACTTATATCACCAGCACCAAAGGGAGCGATATTCCTATCAACTAAGTTAACAGACCGCATGGACTCAGAACCAAAGAGCCGATCAGTGGATTGCCCTGGAATAGCATTAAAAGTAGGATTATTGTCCCAAGGAGAAACATTCAGGGATGAGATTCCAGATAGTGGCCTGCTCGTCACGGCTTCTATTGCTTGTCTTTTGTTGCTGAATGGTTCTGACCCGGATGCATCCATAAACCATTGATGACTTCGTTTAGGTTCTACTTTGGAAGAATTGTCATAGTTGATCTCCCCATTAGTGACAGGTCCTCCATCTCTCGGCATCCAAAAGTCCTTAGGTTGGAAAGACTGCCAAAACCATTTGCTTAGACAGGTTTTTAGCCAAGTGACAAGATCTAGAGCTTAGAATGAGTAAATTTAGAAAAAGAAAATGAGAGCGGCGAAAGAACATTAATGAGAAGAAGCTAGATTCCAGAAACATCTGAAATCATAATCACGTGAATTCGCATAAGAAAAGTAAATAAAGGTGTGAAACGTGGCAAGGCGTTATACAAGAGTAACGCACGATAAAAGAAACAAGAGTATGCTCTTCATGTCTATCCAAAACTACCATCGAGAAACTTAAAGGAATGACGTACAAGATCAGACTATTCACGTAAACTCTGCATTTCATGCAGGCAGGCAGGAACTTACCAAGGAGGTTGGGGGGTGACAAGCAATTCGAAAGTGTGTGGCTAGATATACCCCTAAAGAGGCAACAGTTTGGACATCAAGTATCCGATAGAACTCGGAAGATTCGACAATGCCAAGCAAAACAGCTCTTCACATTAGAAAAACAATCGATCCCGAAAGCAAAAGGCACATCATTTGACAATACCATAATCTTTGCGGAGCCATCGTATAAAGAAATCACAGCATTTTACAAATGACCATGCAAGCACCCATGATTTCACGCACTGCGAACAAGACATTTGCACAAAAAAACTCGAAAGGGGGTTCCGCAAGTTACCATTTTTCAACCACCCGGAAGTCGAACTCCACAACTCGCGAAGCACCCCGCGGAGCGAACTAGAAACGATCGAGTAAAGAGCACCCGGCGTCCAACCAAGTCAGTCCCCTGTCACGGCAACCCTGTCGAAACAAACACCGTCTTCGATATTTACTCGAAGCAGAAGCGATTTCACCTCATCGATCACCCCGGAAACGAAGACTCGATTCCAACAACAACAAAAAAAAAAATTTAAACAGCGCCAAAAACCACGGACCCAACAACATGCGCAATGTGCACAAAACAATCCGCCCGATCAAACTCCGCACGCGAAATACACACCCGGAGGCAAGAAACGCCGATCGAGAACATCAAGAACTTCGACGATCGGAACTTCCGTCGACACAAGATTTACAGTACCCCCGCATGCACTAGGAAAACGCCGCGGCCCGCGCACACAAGAGATCAAACCCTAGAAACTAGAACAGTACGAGAACATCTCGCCACCGGAGGTACCTTTTCCGGCGACGAAGCCGATCTCTGGCGAGGCTCTCCGCGCCGGGGGGAAGCGATAAAAATCGGTTCTTTTTATACAGGGGAATTCGCGAGGAGGAAAGGTGGGGTACCTCTGCGGGAGCTGCTGGAGAAGGAGGAGGAGGACACACACACACACACACACTGCGGAAGCTCTTGGGGGTTTAAGCCCCGGATGGCCATACGCTGCGGCGCGCCCCCACCGTAAGCCCCCTGCGTCCCCGGCGGATCGGCCGTACACGTGTCCCTCCGATTCGAACGGGGCCGCGCCGCTTCAGCTTTTCGCGGTCTTTTTGTGTCCATGGGCCACGTGCTCTTCGCGGGGTTCCGTGCGGGAAGCTTTCGAAACCAATTTGACCAATGCCCATCCAACCAAAAAAAAAATTTATATATATATATATTTCTTTTTAATGGTATATATTATATAGATATAGAATATATATATAGGAGTTAATTAGAGGTCTATTGAGGTGCAAAAAGTATTGAAATTGCTGACTTTATTTTGGATGTATGGCGAGTATTTTTTGAAAAATAAATACGTACCGAAATATTTTTCGCGTATTCACCATCGAACATGGTAGTGTAGTGGTGAATGGGTCCCTGTATCTTTCATAAGGTCACAATAACAAGCCTTGTAGAGAACGAACATCCAATGAGCTTATCGCTTAGATATTCGTTACCTCATGTGGACGGGATTTTCTACCTTTTGGTATGTCTATAGAACTGTAACGATAAGCCTGTACAGTTACGAGAGACTTGATAGTTATAGCCGAAATCCCATATTCCATAACGGATGTAAACCTTTTTAAGGTAAATGCATTGGTCTCTCGTTCCACTCCTTTTTTTTTTCTTATTAAAGAGTTTCCTAACGTACTCATCCCCATCGTTATCTTGCACATCATCAAGATACCTGAACCAAAGGCAATTATCTGCTCCTCCGGAATAAGTAAATATCTTAGAGGCGGCCATCATTCTTTGACCTCTTTTCGTTAGGAATATAGTAAGATGAGGCGATGACGGGGGCTGCGACAATCGGCAGGGCCAATTCATAGTCCAATGTGCAAAACAACATAAGAGAGAAAAAAAAGTTATTGCTGTCTCTGAACTTGAATTAATGAAAAGATAATATTGAATATCTTTATATAAGTTAGGGACTGGATTGAGCATTTACCAAAACTCCATGGACGACATTGCGCACTTGACAAAAGTTTATAGACTATTTGTGTAACTATCCCTCAATGGCATTAATAGTCATCGTTTAAATCAGTAGATCTAGATTAATAACCCATCAATTAGAGCCCATTATTGCTGCTAAAGAGCGGAGAATTACTGTTCTTACTTGGATTTCATGCATGCATGTGGCATCAATAAGAAGGGCAAAGACATTGTATAAGCTTGGATCCATATTAGTCATATGAATTTCAAAATTCAATGATGTTAAGTATCATATTAATTAGTGGACAAAGTACATCTCAAAATTGATGACGCGAATTTTACGTTAAATTACTCGATATACAATGGACCAAAAGTATATCGGATTGCAATTTCTCTTAAGAAAAGCAACTTAAAAGAAATTATACTGCAATGGCCTTTATCCCGTCTGCTATAAGGAAAAAAGAAAAACACTATCTCTAATGACCAAAAAATTAATCGCGAAAAGTGTAGATTTGTTGCTAAACCAGAGTAAATATTCATCGCCCGAAAAGGACATACACTAATCAAAATCTATCGCTAGAAGTCTATAAAGGGGATAAATTCATCCAGCCTTATTAGAAAGCGCAACCCATAAACTTAAATCGATACACAGAGAGAGATCGAATATATATATATATATATATATATATATATATATATATAATGCATATAAACCATATTATCAAATAACGTGAGGTAATCTCAACAAGCCTCGTCAAATACAAACTTGCAAAAACGAAAAATTCGAGGTTTAATCATTGGTGGCCACATTCATGCTAGGGGCTACATCAAATAAAATGCATAGGCCCATCCATTTTGATATCCATGTCGCTTATATCCTTTCTTTTTATATATAGTTTGATAAATATTCAAAAAAAAACTTTGAATTTATAATTTCGCATATAAATGTATAGAATGTGGATTGGACGATAATCAAACTCTAATGGGTATCGTTTTTTTGTTTTTTTTTTTGTGATAGGTGGGCTTAAAATTGATCTTTAGGGGCATGAATAATCAAACTTTTTTTCTCAATTGTGGACATTTGGATAGCTTTGGACCAAAAAGAAAAATTGACAAGGAGAGATGCTCGACGGCGAGTCGGCGATTAAGTTAATAATTCCTAACATTTTTTTTCTCAATTGAGTTTTACTTTTTATTTCTAATTTCTTATTCAATTTAAATTTTACAGCTCACCCATTTTTATTTTATTTTAAAAATTCGAGAATCCTAGAAGTTTCGCAGCACTTGAACCTTGACACGTAAATCCACATACATTTTTTTCATAATTCTACAAAAGTTAGATAACATTTCAAATTTAAGCAAAATAGGAAAAAAGCCCTTTATTTTTTGCTTCATGCAAACACTCACGCCATAAACTCGTGGACGGCGATCCGGTTCTCGACAATTCATCAGTCGCATTCTGCTAACAAGCTACAATGCATTATTATTCACGTAACAACTCTATAGATCTTGCCAAATTCCTTACCTTGTCTCCCCCGAGCCAAAATTTCGTATTCCCCAAACATCGATAGGAAATTTTTTTTTTTACTACAATCCCGTGGGCCGTCCACGCGGTCTTCATTATCCGGTTAATAAGACCGGCAGAGCAATTTAGGGCTCGGGATCGACCTATTTGAGACGGGCTTTCTCACGGAAAATATAGCAAGTATAAAATTTTTCATAATTTGATGACCAATAATCGAAAAATCATTGTTAAGAGATCGATCGTGGTCTGCTGCGAGTTCGGTCCATACGGACAGCATGGCAAAAAAAGAAGAAAAGTCAACTCTCCCATTAATTGACAAAACAGCACTTATGGATCCTTCTAATTTTTTCAAAACTATAGACCACGAAAACGGCCTACACGCTCATCGCCATGTACACATACGCACCGCGTGCGGTCTCGTCTCAATGGTTAGGTCAATACGCATGGCGTTATGTCATCACGGGGGCAAAAGGAAAAGGCATGCAATATGACATCATGATCGCCTCACCGTGACATAATAAATAGAAAGAATTAGCCCGAAAACAATATATCTTTTCATATCGACGATGGACTTGAAAATAATTCATATCATCATCGATTAAATTAGAGAATGATGTATCGAATTCGAAATTGCAGAGGATGGTGAAAACCGATAGAAATTCGGCTGGATGTATATCGCGGAATCCTGCTTTATTTGAATGATATATCTCTATGAATATTGAATAAACGAACCAAAATATTCACAAGAGATGGATCGCCAGCCAAAAAAAATATCTGAGTGAGCAAAAAGGCTCTCCAGGCAGTATGTACTATATATATATCCAGACGTATCGTCTACGTATGTATGTGTGTATGTGCGATCTCTACGTACGGTAAGCAGCTATAGGACGTAACAATCGATGACGGGAGGAGCCGGCGTCTTCGTCCCTAACCGAAACTCCAGGTCGCTCTCGCTCTCGTTCTCCATCGGCGTCAAGTTCAGGTCCAGCCACAGGACTCTCCGGCTGTTCGACTTCTTCACCACCGGCACCTGCGCCGGCGACACCATGGGGTTCCCCGCCAAGGGATGAGCCGGAGGAGCCGCCCCGGCCGCGGCCGGCGGCGTCATCCCGGCCACGGCTCGGTGCCTCCGCATGTGGCCCCCCAGGGCCTGCCCGATCGCGAACTCCAGCCCGCAGACCGAGCACTCGTGCGTCTTCGGCTTCGCCGGCGATGACGAACCCTGCTGCTGGGCCGCCTCGTCCCCGGGCGCCAGCCGCGGCTTCTTGTGGCTCGCCCGGTGCCCGCCGAGGGCCTGGAACGACGAGAACTGCCGGTTGCAGGTCTTGCACTCGAAGACACGGTCCGGCAGCGAGTGGTCCACCACGGACTCGAACTCGACCCCGCGCGAGAGCAGCATCAGGCAGCTCGCCATGGACAAGCTCTCGAACTCCCTCTCCCCTATGCTTCTCTTCATCGCCATGGCAAAAAGCAGCGACGACGCGAAACCGGAACCCTAAGCTGTCGAGAAATCTGCCGTCGAGAGGGCGGAGCGAGGAGGAAGACGGACGGACGGACGGCGGCAGCAGCGGCGGAGGAGAGACAAAAAAAAAAGATCTATGGAAAAAGGAGGCGTGCGATTTGCGGGTATTTATAGTCGGGGGTTACTGGTGGAGTGGAGGCGACTTGAGAGACCGGTTGAAGTTAGCTTCTGGTGTTGACCGTCGGGAATGACATATATGCCCCTCCTTGCGTCTACAGTAAGCCAGGACTAAATCATGATCCAAGCCCACCAAAAAATAGAAGTAATTAATGACACGATAATGACCCGGCGATAAAATGTGATTAATAAAGAGATTTTCGAGGAGCGGGTCCTTCAGCGAGTGACCGGCATTGCACACCCCCGATCAGATATTATCATCAGTTGACGAATTTAATAATTTTGGAATCATTCACGAATTTACCGATAGAATTTTCCAAAATTCATGAGCCGGGTAAATCGATCGCGCCGGAACGGACGGTTCAGATCGCGCGAGAGCGCAAATGGTGGGGGTGCGAGGCTCACGTGGAGCGGCCTTCCCACGAACAAAAGCGGCTTCTTCTTGATTCTGGGGACACGGATTGGGTGACGTGGCTTTTGGCCAAGTGTCGAGAGGGGGCGGTGGGGGAGCGGGGCGAAGTGCCACGTGGGCACGGCCCCGCGTGGCCGAGTCAAGACGGGCGAAAAAGGGGAGGGAACGAGTCGTGAGTGGCGAGCAAAACCGAGTGAGCCGGACGGTTTGAAACTTCAGCTGCTCTTTCTCCCTCTTCTGGAAGAACCTAACGGTTCTTCGATCTGGTTTTTCTACCGGGGGAACTAAGGTGGAAGGCTGGGAACATTATGCGCGTGTGGAAAGAGTTAGGGTTTCGAGTCAGCAAAAGGGAAAAATGCGGGCACGACTTTGCAGCTAGTTCTTTCGAGTTGGTAGAGGACACAGTTTGGACACCAAACCTCGTGGAAATGCGCGAGCATCGGCGAATCGCATTAATAAAAGCACTCTTTCAGTGAAAGATTGAGTGAGGTATGTCGACATTTCGAGTCTCGAGTCGACGCACACAGATGTATCCTCTGATGGGCACTACAAATGTATCCGCATGACCTCTGTGCCCAACCAATGTAAGCGGAGTGCAATAGCGTGTTGTTCGTAAACGAGAGAGAGAGAGAAAAAAAAACTATTAATTTCTTTGAACACGAGCCAACAGTACACATATTAGTCGAAAGATAAATGCATACTATATAGATATGTACCTCTCATGCTTTGGGAATTACAGGTTCTGATGATATCTTATATTGACAGTAAGTAAAGAGTGCTTTTGGATTTGTCATAGACATATCGGGATTTCATTTTTACTTTTTTTTTTCATTAATCACCATGTTGAACATTTCGTTAAAGGTGTTCTATCTAATGGCACCTGCTAAGTAATCAATTAAGGAAACTTTACACGGACCGAATCTACTTGTGATATATGCAACCAGTGTTTTGAAGATCGGATGCTTCCTCATCAAGTATACTTTATAGATGTCCTTGGGATATTCATTGACACAATACCCTATTATTGCCCTTGGATATTTATATCAGTATCCAATTGTTTAACATCTTTTTTATTCCATCTATTATCGGCAATGTATTGAGGCCGACCCGATGAGTTTCTTTGAGAAAATTCACACAACCTCACGAACAAACCGTGTTGCGCATTGAATAGCCTATGCACGGGGAGAAAAAGCTAGCTCGAAAAGCATCTCGAGGAAGCTATACAGACGTGGAAACTTCTTGGTCTTGCTTGATCTTCTTCTTTTTCTCGAATTATTATGTAAAACGCGTCCATGGCTATCATTTATAATATACAAAATTCAATGCAGGTGCGTGTTTATTTTAAGTAAATCTGCTCGATGGTTGCCAACGATAAAGGCACGTGTGAGCCCCCATCTTTCGCGTCGTGATTTATGGGCGAACAGCCTTTCTTTCCCCCTTGGCGCATATATTCTCTTCCTTGATTCAAACGTGGGTCTGCATGCGAAACAAGAGAAGTTAATTCGTACGTGGATCACAAGTTCACTGCTTTAAGACCATGAAACTAGACCAGAATCAAAACTAATGTCGGGTCAAAAGACGTTTAGTCGAGAGCATATGTGCTCGGTGGCTGCAGACTCCAACAGGGGCAAGAGCAAGAAAGCGACCCACCAAAAACCCTAGATCCGATCCGAGATTTCTCTATTTCACACTCGCAAAACAGCGGAAGGAACAGCTTTGCTGCTCTTCTTTACGTGGGTTTCTTCTCTTCCTTTTTCCCCTTTTGTTTGTGTGTTTCCTCACGCAAAGGTTTCGCTCTCGCACGCATAGAAAAGATCAGACAGTGTGCCAAAACATCACCCCAAACGTCACGAACCTAAGCTAACGTACCGGTACATGGAACTTTTAAGTCAAAAGGGAATTAGTCGAGACAACTTCCATTGGATCTAGATATGCACTTCTCATGCATGACGTGTCGGAGCGTGGACCCAGATTTCCAAGGTTATCTCCAAGTAACCACTCCATCATCAGTTCTCTTGGGTTTTTCAGATGATTTAGGTGACGCGATTTGAATAATTTTCGTTTCATTCTGTTGAACTGAATAGGTCTTCTCGGGAAAGGTTTATGGTTTGAACCCACTTGTTCATCTTGACAGGGATGGCTTTGAGTTGTGGGTGTGAAGTAGTTTATCAATTTTCCCAACAGGTTTTGCCAGTCAACCATCGGTGTTCAACTAGTCGGCCAAATAAACAATTTGATTGTTCTTTTGACTATATGTCTTTAAACACAACCCCTGCTTAGAAGCTACCACATAATCATTTCTTAACCTCACACGGATTAGATGAAAATATGACGATGTTTAACAATCTCAAACGACAATCTATAAGCGATTGGTAAACCCGCAATATCGTTATATCTCATTTTAGCAGGCTAACTCGTACTCAAAATATATTGTAAGGAAAACGAAACATATACATGTCTTCTGAAGTTTTGTGTATTATAATTAATCGATCCCATTTATCACGTTGTCGATCAAGAATTTAAGTCCATATGATTATTTGTTTCTCTAGAGAAATATATATTTATATAACTTGTTTCACCGTCTGTCTTCGCTCTGATATATACCGGGATAAGAAAGGAACATTGACTTCCGAAAGGAAATGCTTTCTTGTGCGTGATAAAGCAGCTGCTTCTTATCTACAACATGCAACCCTAATACTGATTCCTAAAGAAGTTTCCTTTTCGGGGCTATTTTTCAACACGCAAAGAAGAGCCCTTAGGATAGCTACTTGCTGTCCTTTCATGGAAATTTCTCAACAAGTTAATGGAGGACTAGTGGAACTAATTCTTCCGCTCACGGCACTGTTCTTTTATTGGTATTTGCATCAACATAACCAACACGTTCTAAAGCGATATAGGCATTTATCCCATCCATTCGTTTGGCATGAGGTTTCACAGAAGTAGGAAAAAGAAATGTTCCAGAAAACAAAATCGCCAAGAAGCTAGTGAAGTTAGCCAACAAAACATAGACTAGCATTCACTATATAACCAGATAATCACGCTTACGGAACTCCAAATTAAAAAAAGAATATCAACCACGCTACTTCAGCATCATGGTTTGAATCTTTTTACGATTTTGTAGTGAGATATCAAATGAAATTTGGTCTGTGCCTATATATGAACGGTTCAAATGAATGCGTGGATTTAGCCAAAGTTAACCCTGTTTACACCTGTAAAAATCCTATACAGAGGACGGTTTGGTTTGTTTGAAGAGAATCTTTTTTGTGATCTATGATCAGATCCGATCAAGGCGTACATGAACAGGCTCCATAAGATCCAATAGAATAGTGTATATAAGTTATGACAGTATACTGTCACAAGTCCTGGTGTTATGTGTACACTGGGGCCAAATTTCACCATAATTGAGCGTACAATCGAGTTATGCAAGTGACGTGAAGCATTTAGAACACACCAGCTTCGAGTTATTGAATATGTGACGACAAGGAATGACACGTACTATCTAGTCACGTTGTATCGACTATTTTTGGAACTATGACATTGGGCTGGAAATACTAAATCATCAGCTAAGTTCTCCTACCAGATTATAGCCGCTCTACATTGTGGATGGTAATGTGTTAGATCCATGAACATATTTACTCTAGGTCTTCAGACTTCTCCAAGAACGTCACTTTCCATATGAAGGAGATATGTTGCTATTTGAGAGTGGACAAACAAAGGCTAAAACTTCAAGGATCTCTTTCGTAATAAAAATTCATGGAAAAGATCTCTAAGAAACGAATCCACTCATATAATTGATTTTGAGAGAGAGAAAGATTTATGAAAAGGGTTAATCGTATCGATTAAATAATAAAGAAATGCTCAGCAAGTATGAGATTTCAAGTTCGATTTCACAAGTGGAGCGACATCTTGTTGACAAATCATAAAAGTAATTTGTGAGAATCCCTTCGAAATGTGTGGCCCTCATTTGGTCGGATCCAAGGCAAATTTTATCATATTTTTTTACCAATTGATTAGTTACATCATCCATAATTGATTCCGTCTAGTAATTCGAAAAATGGGTGATGTCATGTCCTGAATAGATAGCTTCTAGTAGTAGGATCACTACTAGGGTTTCTTTGTACTATTCACCATGAAATTCTCACTCCCATCTTTAAAGACTGCATTCTAGAAGAGGAACCGGTGGCCCAGATTTTCCAAACAGTCAGTATCGTGCAATTCAATTCGTATTTTAATTCATTTTGCTTATTAACTCGTTGCTGTAGCTTGGCACCATCTTTGTCAAAGTCCTTTCAAACTTTTATTAGGGTTATCAGGAATCTAACACCCCCCCCCCCCCCCCTGCTAAATCGTTAGTTAGATAGCTTGGTGGAGTTGGATTCATCTAGTGTTGACTCTTGATCGGTCAGATTAAACTTGTGTGTTCACATCATTAGAATTGCCACATCTTGGATGATAACATCTCCTTGACTATTCTATCCCGTTTGATGAAGAGTTATCGATAAGGATGGCGATTAAGTCTAGGATTTTTTTCGACTGAAAAAAAAAAGTCTAGGAG